TGTGTCTTCTTATTGACCCTCGATTTTAAAGAAAAGCTCCTCTCATTACTACACTTTTTTCTCCTCTCCTCTCTCTCCCTGCCTTGTATACCTCAACATTTAATACCTTTACATAATGTCAAAAAGAATCCAAGACCATGATGAGGACATGCGTGAAGCAAAGTCCAATTTCAATGTTGGAGCTCGCCAAACAATTGAAGACGAGGGCATGGGTGAATTCGAAGATCCCTATGAGGACGAAGTTGAGAGTGACCAAGAAGTAATTATCGAGAACGACGATGACGATGAAGGTAGCGATACAATTTGTATTTACTATCACTCTTTTCTTCATTTTGACATTCAAAAAAAAAAAAATTTATTACCACATCTTTTTTTTCTCCTGAGGGATTGATTGTCTACGATTTTATTACTATCATGATGAAATTAATTCTTTTTTTTCTTTTTCTTTCGTCTTTCGTGTTTTCTTTGCTTACTTCTTTCTTCGTAGGTATGGATGTCGACCAAGCTAACGAGTTGGAACAGGACAAGGATGAGGATGACAGGGATGTGCGTGTCTACTTGCCCGGACAGGCTTTAGAAGAAAACGAGGTCTTGGAAGCCGATCAGTCAGCTTATGAAATGTTGCACAGTATGAACGTCAAGTGGCCATGCCTTAGTTTTGATATCCTTTCGGATCATTTGGGAGACGGACGCTGCACATTCCCTGCTACAGCATATGTCGTCACTGGAACTCAAGCAGATCAACTTCACAACAATGAGGTCTTGGTAATGAAGATGAGTCAATTGGCAAAGACAAAGCACGACGATGGAAACGATAGTGATAGCGATGATGATGACGAAGTTGAAGAAGATCCTATTCTCGAACACAGGTCCATTAAACACGTTGGAGGTGTTAACCGTATCAGAGTAAGAAGGCTTTTTTTATATTCTAGGTGGTTTTTTCTTTCTCGGTTCCTGGAAAAACCGAATTCCACTAGATTTTTCTCGACTCACACCAAAACTACGCTTTTTTCACTACATTTTAGGCAATGCCACAAAGTGATAGACAGGTTGCAGCTACTTGGGCAGAAACCGGTAAAGTTCATTTGTGGGATTTGGCTCCTCATATTCGTGCCTTGGATCAACCTGGCACTGTGGTTCCTGAATCTGCCAAGAAGCCTCTCTACACTATCGAATCACATGGAAGGCATGAGGGTTTCGCTATGGATTGGTCAGAGACAGTCCCTGGACGTTTGTTAACAGGTGATTTGAATGGCAAGATCTACATGACTACTTTGGATTGCGCAACAGGAGGCGTTACGCCTGATCGTGTTCCTTTTGTTGGTCACCAGAGCTCAATTGAAGATTTGCAGTGGTCTCCTTCGGAGAAGGGTGTATTTGCCTCATGCTCTGCTGATCAGACTGTCAGGATCTGGGATATTCGATCCAAGAAGCGTCCTGGTCTTGTAGCCAAGGTTCACAATTCAGATGTCAATGTCATTAGCTGGAACAGGTTTGTACAAGCTCTGCATTGTAACATGACATCAAACTAGATTGAATGTATTACTAATATCACATTGCTTTGCCTGTGTATTGATAGGAAATTGCCATACATGTTGGCTTCTGGATCAGACGAAGGTGTTTTCAGTGTTTGGGATCTTCGCCAACTCTCTCAGAATTCCGCAAACCCAACACCCATCGCAACTTTCAAGTGGCATCAGGCACCTATCACTTCTATTGAGTGGCACCCAACTGATGAATCTGTTCTCGGTGTTGCAGGAGCAGATGATCAGATCACTCTTTGGGATTTCTCCGTAGAACATGATGCTGAAGAAGCATTGAATGGAACAAGTCAAAAGGCGGTTGTGAACGAAGCAGGAGTAGAAGTTCCACCTCAATTGATGTTTGTTCATCAAGGTCAAAAGGATATCAAGGAATTGCATTGGCACAAACAAATCCCTGGATGTGTCATTTCAACGGCAGAGACAGGATTTAATATCTTCAAGACCATTTCCATTTAATTTAGCCTACTCCTCTTAACTTATCAAGGGCTTTTTCACATTATTATTATTTTTTTTGTTGTTTTCTAGTCATCATTCTTCATGTGATATAAATCATATCCCTCATATCTCTACACATCAAACCATTCGAAGATAATTATTATCTCTCTCATACACACCCACTTTACAAAAAAAAACCCCAATATTAAAAATTATACTGCATTCACTCGTGATGAAATTCTCTTCCTATCTTGAGAGGCTGCTTTATTCTTAATAGTAACATTATTATTATTATTATTTAGGAATAGAATACCCACTTTCCGCTCTCAGCGACCAAACGAAAGTTTTCTTCATACACGTGATTTACCACGTGATATTACATTCGTATCACACGTGACTATTAAGGGGCGAATCGCAATAACATCCAATGGCATTGCAATATCAATCGATTTTTCGCTCAAGCAGCGAATCAGAAGCTTCTCCTGATTTTCTTAGACTGTGTAGTATAGCGGTCCAGTACATGGGACTTTGAATCCCGTAACCCGAGTTCGAACCTCGGCACGGTCTAATCTTTTGCTTCTCGACCTTCCAGAAGGTCTATTCTTTTTATTGATTTTGCCACCAAAAAAAAAAATCCACCTTCATTCTTTTTTGTTTTTCTACCCCTGCATCATTACCTCTTTCTTTTTTCTCCATTATTCAAAATCCTAACGGAGAAGGCTGATCCTGAACGAACTGGATGATACCTCTCATTTGTGCGACCATTTCATTATTCATTTGTTCGCCATCTGAATAAATCTTTCAAATAGTAATCTTGGGAAGAAAATAAAAGAAAGAAAAAGTACCACCTAGGCCCAACGTGATAATGAGCAAGGATAAACAAAAGCAGAATGCGTTACTCGTAGGGATAAGCTCTGCATCGACAAGGAGTAGTTCTAGAAGGAAGAGTGGTAATAACAACAACAACAACAACAGCAACAATACCAGGAATAATGACAAGGGCAAAGAAAAAGCATTAGAGGATCATCATGACGACATATCAGATCCTGATGAAATAGCGATGCTTCAGGAAAAGGTGGCAAAGTTCCCGCCAAAGATTGAATCTCTACTTCCTCGAATGCTCAATAAAGGAGATACTTCTATCACCAATGCTTCAAAGTCTTCAAAAGAGCAAGTGACCATCGGCGGCAATAACAATTATCACACTACCGCTACCACTCAAAAAGCCACCACCACAAAAGAATCCACCTCAAAAAAGACCACTTCAACATCTACAAAAAACCTCTCAGTTCCAACTTCAAAATCAAAATCCAGAAAAAGTCCTAGCCCATCAGGCACAAGCATTGCAGCACTCATACCCAAAGGTAGTCGCGCTAGACCTCTGCCTCAGATAGCACAAGAGCCCAATACTCAAGACACAAACAAGGAACCAGAGAGTAATACCAGAGTAGGGGATCAACCTGAGAGTGCGATAATCCTTTCATCATCTTTGCCTTCTATGTCCTTAAATTGGGACTATAGAAACAGCAAAAGTCAAGAGGATCAGGGCAGCATTGACCAGGAAGAGCCACAGCTAGAGACCAAATCAGGGGCCTCTAAAACAGCAACAATGGGAACTATGCCTTCAGTCATGTCGATTGGAAGTACGAAATCTATTGGCAATGCGAGCATGATACCATCAATTCAGCTTGATAGAATTTCTGATTGGATGGGTGGCGTCAAGGAAGCGATGCAGCAGGATGAAGCAGAAGAACCCGCCAATACAACCTCACGGACAGCCCACGCGCCTACAATACCCACAGAGCCTACTGGTAATAACCGGAGTAAACCAGTCGTAGTTTTGAAACCTGAGGGGCCAAAAATCACCGAGGAGTCACGCAAACCGATCCTACGACGTCCGCCCCCTGGAATTCCAAGGCATGCACAATCAATCACAAACACTTCACCATCTCCGTCCCCAGAAGTTTCGACTTCTTCGGCTGTTGTTGTCCTATCATCACTAGCTGAAGATGACTTGTTGACGACAATGGAAGTTGACCAACAAATAAGAAAGGTACCAGGGACGAGTCAGCATATCTTAATCCAGGACTCTCTGCCCTCAGATTTATACTCCCAAGAACTTCCTGAATTTCCTGAGAGCAATACGACAAGCAAAAATCCCGCTGCAATAGATGCAAGGGAAAACCCAGGATCTAGACGTCAAAGCTATGGCAAAGGTGACGAAGTATCGACAATTGTAGGTCAAAATCTTACTCAAGACCAGCCTAGCATGCCTCAATCACTCCCTTCCTTTGTATACGATGATGATGAAAATATAAGCAAATCTGAAGAAGAGTATTATTCGCGAGTCCGACAGGGACAGGAGTTTAAAGAGCCTTCATTGCCATCAGCGCTCACCTCATCTTGTCTCCAGGAATTGGGACTACTCAAACGTAAACCAACAGGAGAGGAAGGGGAGCTCCGAAAGCGACGGCTGAGGGGTGAAACGAACCTAGACGAGAATGAAGAAGAAGAAGGGGATAGTATAATGTTGGCTCAAATGGGTGCTTTTCCTTCAAGCATTGGAGCCGCACCTTCCTCTTTGTCGTTCCTACCAGAGTCCCTATCGCTTTCGCAAGATGTAATTGAATCACCAGAATACAGCCATGCTTTGCCTGAGAGATTACGACAAACTAATGAGAATCAGCCTCAAAGCCAACTTTCTACACAAAATTTTGAGCCAGAGCAAAACCAGCAGCCTAGACGTAGTAGCGTAGATGGCTCAAAGGGGACATCATTCCCGTCGCCGCCAACACAGATCACATTTTCCACATTGCCAACTATGCCATCGTTCCCCAGTCAACTTCAGAGTGAACCATCTTTAATCTTACTTGGTAGCCAGAACCCTAACCAGGACAACAGAAATGAAAATGGCGATCTTTGATTGTTTTATGAAAACATAAAATAAAAATGGCCTATTTGTCCTCTTCAGTACCTACATAATATTGTACAATGTATGCAGTGTTGTGTGTGTTTTTAATTGTACTATTATTAATAATATGCATGTTTGAACGAACGGACTTTTAGTCAAGATATCCAAGGGGGAAAAAAGTGAAGGAGATGATAACAGCAGTAAAAGGAAAACCAGGAGGCTACGAAGGGGCCATTGAAATAAAGGCGTTTTGCAGTTCTGACCATACTCTTCTTGTTCATGATTGGTATTGACGAAGACTTTGTCTCTATTGTCACGGCTCTGGTGCATCTGGTTCAGTCCAGCCTGACAACTAATACCTGAAATCATATATTTTGATGGATGCTGGACAGTCTCCAGGATTTTTTTATTTAATTTCATTTTTTTTATTTCGTTTCTATTCCTGCTCATAACCTTTATTGACATATACATTCCAACAGTCTGATTGCCTTCATAATTGTAAGAGACAATCAACGGAACACTACTATGAAGCCTTCAGCTATCCAAAATATACTCTTCAGTGCCATGACTTTTCTGGCAACTTTCAACCCGATTGTCACCTATGCTCTCCCAGTCTCAACAACAAAATCAATGTCAACCTCGAGTGAGATAGTTGACCGTGGAATTGGTAGAGCGGCACAAACCCTACCATACGAACCACCAATCCAAAAGCGAGGCGAAACGTACAACCAAGAAACCCAAAGATTTCGTGCCAATACTCTGCCATTTGCTCAGAACATGAAGCGCGAAATGACAGGGTCGTCAAGTACAGACTATGCTAGATCACATTCATACGAGTACCAATGAAGTTGAAATGCGAAGTGCAACACATATATCATGGCCACCATTAATAAAATAATAATAAACTGTAGCAAACCATTTATTATACATCATCCTCGGGGCTTTTGAAAAATTTCGCTCTGATGTCCCTAGTCTATTCGTTGAACTTGCTGATAGATTTATATTCGTAAACGCTGCATAGATTATATTTGTAACCAAATTTAGTATTAGTAGGCTCAAGATCGGCGAGGGTAGCTGCATTCCGATCCAAGCAAGCCAAGAAAACCATCGTCTCCGACAAGTACTCCTTAACATGTGTCATATTTAACGGAGCCTTTAGTGTATTCTAGTCCAGGATCCACATAAATATGATTCCTGCGCGGTATAACGACACCACTTAAAAGGCTAAACCTGAAGCCGAAGGTCAATGATCACAACACCACCATCCTATGGGATTGAGGAACTATAGGACGTACAATCAGCAAGGAGACAGCACCTATCCTTTCCAAGCAGTATTTCTTGTATATGAACAACCCACCGTTTGTCTTCCTTATCAGCTTCGAATTGCTGTTGTTATTGAGGAAGGGTTCACAGCATTTTTCCTGCTTTCTTGCTTGCTCACCATAGTAGTGACTGCCCATTTTAATATCACAACAATGGCAACAAATATCTTTTTTT